TACCAGGAGGCTAAACAAAAGTCTGGTGGTTGCCCTGTTTTTCTTTTCTTCTCGGTGAGCTTTTTTAGATACATCATTCTCAAGTCTTTTTTTGGTTTTGAGTCACATTCTCCTTGTTTTGATTGGTTATTTTTGGTCTTTTTATCCAGGTGAATACAAGTGGTCAGTTTGTCGGTGTTGCAGAGATGGTAGGACCAGTTGATTTCAACAAGAGTTTGGAGTATTGGCAGCAAGACAAGTGGATCGGCTGCTTTCCTGTAAAGTGGCACATCGTGAAGGATGTACCAAACAGCTTGTTGAAAAACATCACGCTGGAGAACAACGAAAACAAGCCTGTTACCAACAGTAGAGATACTCAGGAGGTATGCCGCGTGTTTTAATATTATGAGCAAGATAGAAGAGTAGTGATTTTTGGGTGATCCTGTGTAGTCTGTCTTGGCTCGTTTGACCTTCATATAATTGTCGATTACTGTTTTTACCAACCGTTTCACCAATTCCAAAAGATGGTTTTTACCAACAGTTTCATTGCTTTGTACAGGTCAAAATAGAGCAGGGCCTACAGGTGATTAAGATATTTAAGGATCATATTAGCAAACAGTGCATCCTTGATGATTTTGACTTCTATGAGGATCGTCAGAAGAGAATTCAGGAAAAGAAGGTCAAGCAGCAGCTATTCCAGAAGCAGGTAGCTTATTATGTACTCCCTCCGTTTCAATTTATGTGAATCTATTTCCTTTTTAGTCCGTGCCAAAAAGAACGACTCCTTTACCTATTTGTAACAATTTAACCTTTATGCAATGATTTATAGCCACACAAAATATATGTGCTTCATTTTACACCACAAGTTTAAAAGTTTTCTCTCTTTTCTTGAACTCCGTGTCCAGTCAAATGGGTTCATATAAATTGAGATAGAGGTAGTGCTAAATTTCTGCCTATTAAATGAACTTTTTTAAAAAAAGGAACAAGAAGAGGTGCTTTCACTAGTGTATTTAGCAGTGGTCGATGTCT